AACAGATTTTTGACAACTGCTTTTAAATAAGGATGAAATTTGTCAATTTTCTCTACCTTGTCATTGGTCATCTGCAGACTTACTTTGTTAAAATCCATTCTGATTTAATGAGTAAGTACTCTGAAGTTGATATTAAAGTTAATGATAAGTTTGGTCACTTGATTTGACAGTTACGTAATAAACGATATAATGTGTACTGGGGCTGAAGTTGAAATAAATATATGCTACCTTTACCAAGTATTTTACGCATTTATTAAGTTATGAAACGAAACCAGCAAAACTTTTCAAGTCATCTCTAGAATTTTCAATTTGTTTTTTATCGAGTGAAAAACATTTAGGAGTTTTTAGTGTTAACACCTGCATATATACTTTAACGCACTATTGAAGAAATTTTGGTTAATATTCTATTTTAAAAAATGAGTGCAAATCAATTAACAATAATCAACAAATCTCAGATAACGTGCTTTGTATGAACGTCCTATTCACAACACAATACGAGAGTCGATGGACGATCTCAGACCTGAACTTCCATAACGCTTTGAGAGAAACAATACTGAATCCATTGTAGTATCTTCTACAAAAGCATCGAAACCAAATATAGGAACTCAAGCAATCGGAACTCCCTTCGTGCTCAGTTTTTATTTGCCAACAAAATCTATTGACTATCTGGGTATATTCTCCTACAATTCCTTCGACGCGGGCACTATTTCATATTAAATATTTACGTATTTCGTGGTTGAAAATTGCAATGTTTCGCTTTATCAATAGAAATATTTCTATTTATCCTGTATTATTCAAAGCCGCATTACGTACATCTATTCAAAAGAGTTAATGACCTTGTAACGATTGACATACAGGATTAACTTGTGGACCTTGAATTGCTCAAATGTTCAAGTCCACTTCTCATTCATGCCCTTGGCGTTGCTTTTTGGGAACCAATGTCAACGTTTATGAACAAAACCCAGGACTATATTACCGTATTCTGTTTTGAAGCAGTGCATTAATTTCTGTTATCAAAAATGCCTTAAAAGGTGTCAATGTTTTAAAGAGTGTTTAACTTAAAGGTGCTTAGACACAGATTTGAAGTTAATATTTTCTCAAATTTTCTGTATAATATCATGACTTATATATTGCAATAACATTTCACACGAAAATATAATTAAAAACTTATTTTATCTGGAAATTATTGGAACTCCGAATTCCTGGACGCGTTTGATTAACACATCCTAACACTTTCACAAATTTTATCTTTATCCTTAATATTTAAGAAAAGAACCGATTTTGTTGTGTATTAATGAAAAACATTACATTTATAATCCAGAAAATTCAGACTAGAAATGTGCGCAAGCAAACCCCCTCACTAATATCGTCAGCCCGTGCTCAGTGTTGTGTACAGAGTTTAACAAATTTAATACATCCGTGAAACGTAAACTGTTTTTGTAAACAGGGCACGAGCTCTGTTATTGTTAATATTTACGATTCACCGGGTGTGTTCAATTGTTAAAGTCTGTACACACCACTGAGCACGGACTGACAATACTGTGAGTGGGTTTTGCTTTCGAACATTTCTACTCTGAATTTTCTGGATTATAGTTTTAATATTTTTTCATTAATACACAACAAAATTGCCACTTTTCTTAAGTATTAAGAATAAAATTAAAATTTGTGAATGTGCAAGGATGTGTCAATCAAACGCGTCCAGAAATTTGAAGTTTCAATAACTTCGAGATGAAATAAGATTTTTATTATATTTTACTATGAAATGCTATAGCAACATATAAGTCATGAAATTATACAGAAAATTTGAGAAAATATTAACTTCAAATCTGTGTCCAAGCACCTTTAAGTGATGACTCTTAGTCATGTAAATACATGGCTCAGGAGCGCTTAGAATGAAACATTGTACATGTATATGTAAAGTCCAACGAATCATATTATGAAGCCTGTAGGATGCCAAACCATTCCACAAGTAAGTATATCGAATACTCATTTTCATGATGCTCATTGATACTGTACGTACATGTATACCCTTACTCAAACGATTAACTTGTTTTTATTTTTGTCCTGCTATTGAATGTTTTACCTGCTATGCGGACCAGCATGATAAACTAAAGCATACAATTATCTGGCGTCAAAATCAGAAATAAGACACCAGTTAGATACACTATTGGTATGGGAATATACAAATGTACAACATAACAAGATACCAAGTATTACTAACTTAACACTTGAATCCCTAACGTTACTTTTTAATTGTTGTGAAATACTAAAGAATTGATTTCAAATACCCATAAATATTAACAATAGTAAAAAAAAAATTGAAGCTTTGAAAAAAAACTAATGTACAACCCTTTATGCAGCAAAAAAAACTTTCTATAATTTACAACAACCTTACCATATTCTAGCAAATAAACAATAATACAAGTTTTTATTGGTGAAGACACGGAACCTTGTGCAGTATTTTCTTTTAAGACTAGGCCACTGGCTCAACAATTTTAAGTAACTCAAAATTCAGCTAAGCAAGTAAAAAATGCAAAACGTTTAATAACACATTCCGCCCAGTTAGATGGATATGGATGGCATGGATACAGAAGTTTTATCGGAGAGTGATTCATATCTATATATTTGTTCATTTGATACATATTTTAAAAATAAATATAACTGAATGCTGTTAAGTTATTGCCAATTTTGATACCTGCATAGATTCCATTTCACATGTGCAATTACGTTTAGAAAATACCTCTACAATCCATCCAACACGACTTTAACATACATTCTAATTAAAAAAAAGCAATTGAAAAATGCATAAAAACCAAAGTGGCTATCTTATTTTATATTTTCTGAAAGTAAATGACATTGTGTATTCTCAATTGCCTAAATATTAGTTCCTTGTAAACTAGTTCTTTTACTTCCTGACTTACAACCAATCACTTCCTTCCTCATTGACACACAACTACTTTCAAAAATCTACTTAAGTAAATAAATTCTGAATGGATCAGAATAAACAAATCATAAACAAAAATAAGAATTTACTTAAATTTAAATTCGACATACATAAAGCCAAGTCTTCAGCGTTAATCTTGGTAAAATGGTATTACTTTAATTTTTTCCAACACAAAAGTTTAGAGGTAAGAATTAGAAATTTAGATTATAAATACTTTACCTCACATTGATAATGTTCAAACGCTACCACAAAATTATTACTATTAAAACTGACTATATAAAAAAGTATTGATTTCTATAACTGAGACTTCCTTTTTTAATTTGCCTTTTTCGTATTAAAAAAAAAAAAAAAAAAAAAAAAAAAAAAAAAAAAAGATTAAAAATTTGTTGGTAACATTTTGAAAATTGATGGTTAAATAATGTCGAAAATAACAATATTGACTTTTCTCTAATTCCATGAATTTAATGCATCCATTGTTTTAAAGAAACGAAATTGTACGATCCTGTAATGCCAATAAATTAATTAATTCATGTGCCATAATTATAATGTGTCGTTCTTATTGTACGTTAATTCCTGCAGCTGAATGAAGATTAAGATTTTCTAACAATGTAATTCATTACTTCCCTGGGTTATATTAATAGGTTCAGTCCACTTTGACTTTTGTCAGTTGTTAATTTATACCTACATGTAACAATTACAACTGTGTGTGCGTGTCATTTCATCTTTCTTTCAGATGTTGCTAGCAAATAATACACTGTTCATTTAAAAACAATAAAACTTTTTTATGAATAATTTCATTGTGTAAAATTATCTCATGTTTTTGAAATCCATGCTTCGGTAATTTATGAGATATTTACAAACATTGTTATGTAATATGTATTTAATTAATTATTACGTGATGACAAATATATTACTGAGACTGCAGGCCCGGGGTGTTGGAAATTATTCCAAAATTTATTAAGTTAGTTTCATGTTTATTATATGATTGTGGGTTACAAAGTTGTGAACGAAACTTCGGGGGAAACCCCAACGCTAAAAGCACTCTAAAGTTATTATTATCCCCCAATCGAATCGTGTCAAGCATACAAAAATATATTTCCCACGATTTGCAAATTTTTCAAATAAAATGTATAAATTTTAACTCTCTGTACGATGTGTACATTTACACTCAAGGTTGTAGGAAGCCGTCAATGTTGCATATTAACCACGAAATTGATACGGAAACGTAAACAATTACATATTCACCTGTACTTGTCATCTGAACCTCATTGTAAGAAAATTCAGTGACTTTTTATATATATATATATATATTTTCTAATGTTTTGTATTTTGTGTGTGTGTGTGTGTGTGTGTGAGGGCGTGTGTGTGTGTGTTTATTTGTTTGTTTTTCCTTTATTTATTTTTTTTAATTTTGTATATCAGCCGATTTACTCTTTTTATGACGATTATTTTGTTTATTATTTTTTGAAATGTAGCACACCTGATAACATTGATAAGTACTCATTCACTTCACATAGATTTCTTTTTCTTCAGAGATTATATTTCATCAAAAGATGGAAGAAATTAATTAATTAAACACTGAATATGATAAAAACACTTACCGTGAATGTTAAAAGATTTGTTTACACTAATGTGGGAATTCCCATTATATCGTATCTAAAAATAGAGCTAGAGCTCGCCTATAGTTAAAAACTTCACTGTGGAAAATTTACTTTCTTCATAAACATCACAAAAATAGCTTATAATAATTGACAGAAAATTCTACCTTTTTGTCTTTTTTTTTTTTTTTTTTTTTTTTTTTTTTTTTTTTTTGAATTCAGCAAAGTAACAAATAGTCAATGCCATATGTATTGAATAAACATTATTATTTTTGCGTGTTTTTTTAATTCTCAAACTACTTCCTACATAAAGATTCCGTTTTTTTTTTAATCTTTCAGGAACTGTCATTTCTCTAACTCATTTCAAATGTGAACATGGCTTTGAATGAACTACAGAGTAAATCTTGTCATCAATAATCCTTTTTACATTTCAGACGAACGGCAAACTGGCAAAAAATATGCAGGTCCTTAGACGATGTGTATCAGAAAGTGAGACAACAGTCCCAAGGCATCAGAACAAAAGGAAAAGAACTCAATCAGAACCTCTCAAAGAAACAGAGGTTACAAATGGATTCAACGCAGATGGAGCAGAAATTCCTATTACGAACGAACTATTATACCTAGTAATTATCTTACTGTCATGCCTAAATATGGAAGAATTGAAACAAATGATATGTGATATTTTACTTAAGAAACAAGAAAAGGTAGAAGATTCTGAGAGCCATAGTAGAGATTCTAATGCACAAAGCTGTAATGGGCCTAAAGATACCATTTTCAGAATTTGCAAAATGTTCTTATCTGGCAAGCTACAATGTGTTGGTTGTGAGACAAGGAATAAAAATGACATCGATTTCTTTCTAAATCAAAATTTAGAAAATGTTTTGAAAAATACCACGGAAAGCGCTTTATTAAAACAATCATTTTCAACATTCTACAAAACATTTCTCCGCTGTTTTGGTTCTTTGCAACCCACATATGTCAAAACATTTCCTCTCATAGAATGTTCTCGGAATTTAGAGGACTATGTAAAGAAAGAACTGAGTGCCAATCAATCTAGAAGTACCGAATTAACACAAGCGCATAATCTGCATTCTATGAACATGGAGATAATACGTCTAGGTACTTTCAGTACTTTCCCACAACAGAGTTCTGTATCTACTCTAAAACTTGCCAAGGAGGGTTTCTACTACACCGGGGAAGATGATAAGGTTGCCTGCTATGCCTGTGGAATTCAACATAGTGGTTGGAGACAAGCCGATGATCCGAGAGACATCCACCGCCAGATGTCCCCAAATTGTTCATTTGTAAACTCTAGTCAATCTGAAAATATTCCTATCAGAGGGGCTGAAGATATTGCAAACTTAGCTCCAGCTAGTCAACCATTAGAACAAAATGTGAGTGAAAATTCTACTCAGAGGAATGGGCGGCCAGAAGAAATGGCTTTGCAAAATTCAACACTTTTAAATTCAAACAATTCTAGAAATAGAAACAATTCAGCATGTTTAACACATACGGTAAATACCTCTTCATGCAGTAACCAATTTAATGAGAACCAGATTAACAATTCAGAGAGACAAGTTGCAGGAGGATCACCTAAAAGTTCAAGAGAAATACAGGAAAAAATCAATGCTTTTCTGGGCAGCTTAGATCCTCTTGGAATTAATTTTGATCGTCCAAAGTACCCATCATATGCAGTAGTGGCAACGAGAGTGAGCTCCTTTAAGGACTGGCCGTCATGTATGACGCAAAAACCACGAGATCTTGCATTGGCGGGATTTCTGTATGCGGGATATGGAGATTACACCCGCTGTTTCTTTTGCGGCGGTGGATTACGAAACTGGGAACCGGAAGATGACCCTTGGATAGAACACGCCCGATGGTTCCCGAAGTGTGCTTTTTTGAGACAGAACAAGGGTGACGAGTTCGTTGCATTGGTTCAAATAGAACATGAAGAACAGGTAAAGAAAATTTCCTGTATTGCTTAGAGTTTCTCGCTTGTTTATTTCAGTTGTGACGTAAATTTGGGGAAAAAAATTGAACAAGATTTCTTTTTTATGATTTTTATTTAATTCCCATAGTGTTCTCGTTATTTGAATATGGTTTAAATGAACAAATACTATTTTTAGGAGAAATTAGAAGAAATGGAAACAACAGGAAATGCACCATCTTTCCAGAGCAACAATCCTACAATAGCATCATCTCTTTCAAATTCAGGACATACAAATGTTTCCAATATTTATGATTTGGCATCCGTACAGAGTGTTTTAGACATGGGTTATTCTCAACAAGTGGTGAAAGAAGCATTTGATGTCTTGAATTTTTCAAAACGTAAGTGACTTTTTCATCTGAAGCTTCAGGCAGAACTGAAGTGTATCTTTTAATTTAGGGTAGTTGACTCTACATAATTTTTAAAATATAATGCAAAAGCTCTCGGTTTAAAAGAAAATATATCATAAGTTAGAAACCAATGGTATATTTATGATTGTAAGGAAATTCAAATATGTAAAAAGTTATATATTTTACAAACGTGAAGATTCACCAAATACATATGTACAAGGATCCAAGTCAGTTTTCATTTGATAATGTAATCTGCTGATTATTTTCAGATAAAGACGACATCACGGGGGAAGATTTGATGAATATCATTCTCTCCAATGAAGAAAGCAGTACAGGACTGGATACCTCTCCTTTAACTCAAAATACAAAACCAGATACAAGAGAAACTTCTGAAAGCGTCCCCTCTGTAAGTCAGAATGTAATAGAGAGTGGGTCTCCAAAGCCTGGTTCCAATTTAGGATCTTCTGAAAATGTATCCGAAGTATATAAACGATTATTGAACAGCAAATCTGATCAAGAAGAACATTCATTTTCAGGTATTTATGATATTATATAATTTGTGCTCAATTTTCCAATTTATATCATACGAATCTGAAAGGAAGTGAATTTGATGTACAGATTACAGCTTACTTTGATTTTTCATTTAAGAAACCAAATGATAACAAATATGAAATTAAATGGATCAAACATACAGAAACCTGTTATAATATTTTACAGACACGAAGTCATTGATTGAGGAAAACAGGAAATTAAAGGATCTCCGACTTTGTAAAATCTGTCTTGAGAACGACGCATCTATCGCCATGTTACCTTGTGGTCATCTCTGCTGTTGTCCAGACTGTGCTCCGGCCATGAGGAAGTGTCCAATATGTCGCCAGTTTGTGAAAGGGACAGTGAGAACATGGCTCGTGTAAAGGATTCCAAAAAGGCTCTTGCTCGTCATATTGCAGGCAATTTGATTACCGTAAGAAGATAAGACAAATTATCCATAAGCCAAAAGCTTACAGGACAAAAGATTCTGTTTTATATTTACTTTTTCTGCATACTAACTAGCATAATCTTGATAATTATATCTTGATTGAATATGCATAGAGTTTTTCATGCACTGTATTTTTACTGAAACATATGGGTATATTATTATTCTTTTCAGTGATTTACAATTGATATGTATTTAAAAATTGTGCAATATCCATTTTATTGCTCTTTTTCATATTTGTGTCCGCCCAGTTATTGTTTCTTTGTTGTTGTTGTTGTTATTGTTGGTTGTTGTTAACCTTGTGTTTTATATTTATATATGTGTTTTATATATTTTTCATTTCGTTAAATAATGTTTACAAATTTAAGATTTCAAAATAAAAATAATCTTTTATTCATCTGTTTCCATTTCATTTAAATATTTTTTAAATATAATATTATCATTTAGAAAGTATATCCATTGTTCGTGATAATGGAAAATGCAAAAAAAAAAAAAAATGCACATCATTATTTATTTGGGACAGATTTGAAATGATTTGTGGTCTGCTGAGTTAGCATGTATATCTATAACTGATTAAAACCAATTTTTCAGGGGGAAAATCTTTAAAAAATAATATAAAAAATCCTGATCCCATATGTCCTATTACTATTCGTTTACACTCGTCATTATTCATGAAATATGGATATAACGAACAAGCTCAAAAGTCCATTAAACAATACTAATCGGGAGCAGAGCAAACACGAACCTCTAAAAAAATCAGAGGTGGGATCAGATGCCATAGAGGAGTAAGCATCCCCTGTCGAACGGTCACACCCGCCGTGTGCTCATTTTCATGATCGAGCAAACAAAAAATCCGACCTAACAATTAGTATGAAAAACATCAGTTAGCATTCGACTCAATGATTAGATTGTATTTGCTGTCAAGGTCATCGTATCGACCATAAAATTGCGAAATGATGACTTTAAACGAGACTGTTGATATCCTTGTTTTTCATTAACTTCTTTGCCAATAGCTTGCCTCTTTTTGGAAATTGTTTGTACATGGATCATGCTCTTGCTCTTGCGTATCGTAGCAATTGGGAAATATAAACCCCATATGCAGGTAATGATGTTATATTGCTACATAAATAAGGGAAGTTGACGATACAAAAATAAAGTTTTCTTGTTAGGTTATCGTTAACGTCTTTTCAAATAAAATATCCTAATATGAAACAGATTTGTTAAACTCTGTGTTCTCTTTTATTTCAAGTTAATTAAGATATATCGAGTCCACATATGAATGAAAATAACTATTTTTAATTGATAATACGTCGTCGATATATCTAAATGTCGAGTTGAAGGCCACAGCAAGTGATTTCTTCTTTTCATTTAGAAGTTTTTGAATAAATTCTGCTTCATTTGAGTATAAAAATAGATCAGCTATTAAAGAGGCACAATTGGTATTCAGGAGAATTCCGGCAGAGTGTTTGGAAGATCTAATCTCAAAAAAATTACAGAGATATTGTCAATCAGGAATTCAAGCATCTTTTTAATATTAACTTTGAAGTACTTGTGTGTACAATTCGAATGCTTTTTAACAAAATAATTTTTCTAAATCTCAAATGATAAAGTATGTAAATTTACGAGTTTCATTTTTATTGAAAATCAGCTGTATACGATGTCAAAAAGCCTGGACTTTATATATCGTAGCGAATGGTTGTAAAAAGTGTAGTAAAGTTTTGAAGTTGTTGATTTTCGTAAAATTTTGTGATTTCAAATAATGTAGATGTGCTTTAATACATCACTGATGATTTTCAGTTACTTTCTCTTCAAATTGAATGAATTGACTTACACATCTTTTGCAAACTTCTGAATCATATTTATAAATCATTTGAAACATCTATATTGAGGCTTTTTTATCAATAGATCTGAGACAAGGCAACACAAATATCATACATGATATCCAATAAAATGCAATCCAAACGGGCATACGTGTAGAGGATCAGGCTAAGTTGATCATATGTATCCAAAAAACAACCTTTCACCTGATCCCACCTCTGATGTTTTTAGATGTCCGTGTTTGCTCTGCTCCAGATTTGTATTGTTTCAATGAACATTTGAGCTTGATTCCTGTTCGTTATCTCTACGCGGGTATGTTAAGGCTACACCCAGAGATATCCTACTTGCCTCTACAATATGACGTCATAGTAAGCTGTATGACGTGAAGTATAGAAATAATGATTTCTTAATACCTATATTCAAAGTTTAATTTCAGGTCCAAGAAATGAAAGAAATCATTCAAAAACATAATATAAACTAAATCTTGTTGTTTTGGGTGCTATTAATAGCTAAGTATTTATTAGGGGGGTTAAATACCAAACCAATGACGTCATAACTATTGATCAAATATTTGCCGAGTGAAAATTAAACGTGACGAGAATTCATGTAAACAAATATATAAAATGGGAGTTTTAAAGCATATACCGTGAATGTTATGTGTGATTCATAAGGAATTAAAGATTAAGAATCAGGGGCCCGTTTTACAAAAGAACTTACGACTACAACCAAAATTTAACTCTGCTTATTATTTCTAATTTACATTGATTTGAAAATGGTTTTAATCTTTTTAAAAAAAATTTTACAAGATATTTTTATGCTAGCAATTTCAAACGGAATAATTAATTTTGCAAAATTTTATAATCAATTAAAGTTTTTGGTCTTAGTCGTAAGTTCTTTTGTAAAACGGGCCCCAGTACGCTGCTATTTTCTTATCATGTTTTCTTAAAATGACCACAGGCAGTGCTTTGAAATCCGATCAGCCTTTCCTCTGTCGTTCTATAACAAAAAGTTGCAAAAGTTCAACACAACGCCGCATACTTTGAGACATAATTTTTGTTTGTATCGAAAACTTGTATTCTATAGTACTTGGAAAGTGCTGCTAGAATCGTGAGATTAACATGAATTGATGACAATTCCTTGATCGTTTGTACAAAATATAATAATTTTGATAAGGTTTCATGTGAAACTTTGGAATAATTTTTTCTGTGTCGAGAGAGTAGGATTCTAGCAGCACATTTCATGACCCAGTGATGTTTTTACATAATTATTTTCACAAAAAGAAATGAATTATCCCCGGGGTAGTGTTGAACTTTTTACTTTTTCATTAAGGCAATTTTTCTATTTTATAGACGTCACGTAATGGCGTCGTAGTGGAGTGCTTCATTTAGCCTAAGACTCAATGACGTCTAAACAATGGATAATAATAGTAAATGTTTTATCTATGGCTTTTCCGATTTATAAATGTTACATTTTACGAAAAAGTCTGAATTCACCGAAATATGATCTGGGTACTGCCTTAACATACTTGCGTATATTTCACCTCGCAGATAAACCGTTTGCCGACGGCTGTCCCATATACTCGGAGTAATATCTGCTGAATTAGAACTATTTTGTACAATTAAGTTTTTTTTATAGAATTCAAAAATTCGTCACCTGATTTGCTTTTTCCTAAAAAAAAACCCCAATTTTTTTCCAGGACAAACTGCATGAAAAGAAAACGAACTTATATATCTCTATGACACCGTCATTTGTTTGTCATTACAATTTTGTGTGTACAGTGAGACAGGTTTGGATTTTTTAGATTTCTTGACATCATTTTATAATTAAACATATGAATATACCACTTCGTGTCCGATGTACCACTGTATATATTTACTTTTTTAACGTTACGACAAATATTTCTTGACGTAGGTGGTATCCGGTGTAATCAACTTGTATTCGTTGATGTTCAACTGTTAAGGAATTGACCGAGTTAAAACTGCAGAGCGGGTATACAAAATTTACGTCAAAATTTTGTCTTCTTTATCGCAAACGTTATCATAAAAAACAATAAAAGGTATATCCAAAAAAAAAAAAAAAAAAAAAAAAAAAAAACATTGACTGTGTTCTCGTGTAGAATGCATTCTGCAAAACCGGGCCTTTAATGTCCTCAGGAAAACAGATTCAACTGGTTCTTGAGTCAGACAAAAATGCTCGAATCCAGTCAATAAATATATAATGCTGATATGTTTGTACTTTCTTTAATTATCCAGCTCTCTGAACCAGCTTTTGTTTACTTTATAATGTAGCTTAGCACAGCAATCACGCGACAGATCGCACGTTATCAATGTGTAATTTAAACGTCTCCTCTGGATTTTATGAATGAAAGAATGCCATATCATTCCGAAATGTATGACTATGTATAGAGCTAACTTCTACTATTGACAGTTACCACAACACTGAGTATTTGCCTACGTGTATATGTTATTTGCAAGTAATCATTAGTTGTCGTCATTCTCTGACTGAATTGATAAAACATGATGGTAACTTTTGAAATCGGAAGTTCTCCGATTTTTATTACCCTTTTTTAAAGGACATTGTTCCAATCTTCTTAGAAATTTCTTTCCAAAAGTATAGTTTTTTTAAAGAAGTAAAGAATGTTTTGTATGTTTTATGATGTGAACAAACATCTTACACCATTTCGTACTTAAAATTGGTATGACACTAATACTTCTCTGTATGTAAAAGTACAGCTAAATATTTATTAAATATGACACGTTTTAAACGGATCCTAAATCAAAGTTCTAATATATCACAAACGCATTTCCAATATATTTATAGATCTCCTGTTCCAGATCTGGATTTGTGATGCGCTAGTGTAAGGAAGTAAATAAGTATTTCATAATTTAGTCATTCCGGATTTTTACAAGAAGTCATGACTGATAGCATGCATGTACCCTATTTCATACATGACACAACATTGTAAGATTATACAAAACGTACAAAAAAGATATTGGAAAATACAAATGTACATTTCGTGTCAAATTAATTTTTCCAAACATATATATCCGGAAATCGGGATAAAATTAGCAAACAGGAGACACGCCAAAAATTATTCAATTGTAATTTAGTACTACATTATCTTTTCTAAACCTTCACAAATGCTATTGA